TTCAAACTCCTCATTTTGATCATGTTTGATGTCTTCAATCTCCTTCTTGCAACTTTCTGTTATCAACAGGTCATCGACATAGAGACATAGTATAAGCAATTCATTATTGTTTCTCCTTACATATAATCCATACTTAGTTGTGCACTTCACAAATTTCTTCTTTCTTAGGAAGCTATCTCTCTTCTTATTCCAAACTCTTGGTGCTTGCTTAAGTCCATACAAGGCTTTATACAGCCTATACACCTTTCTTTCTTCGCCTTGTTTCATAAATCCAGCTGGTTGTGCAATATAAACTTCTTCATCTAAGGGGTCATTCAAGAATGCACATTTCACAACCATTTGACATACCTTCCAGTTGTTCATGTTTTCTAGACCAACAACCAACCTGATTGTTTCGATCCTAGCAACAGGTACATAAACTTCGACGAAGTCAATTTCTTCTTTCTGAAGAAATCCTTTCACCACAAGTCTCGCCTTGTGTTGAGTTACTTCTCTTGTAGGATTTAGCATCACCTTGTATACCCACTTCACATTAATTGCCTTCTTGTCGTGAGGCAATTCGACAAGTGACCAAGTGTTGTTGACTTTAATAGACTTCAGTTCCTCATTCATTGCTTTCTTCCACTTTGAACCTTTCAATGCCTCAGCTGCAATGAATGGTTCAACATCTGTGTAGAAAGCATATTGTGCCAACTCACCTTCTACATTAACCACATCATCTGATGTAATCACACATTCTTGCAACCTTGTAGGCATGTGTCTTGTTCTTTGAGGTTTACTTGGGCCTACTTCACCTCTGACTTCTTCTTTTCGAACTTCTCTTTCGACTTTACTAGCTAGTTCTTCATATAATATTCTCACTTAATCCTTATTAACATTCTTAGTCCAATCCCATTCCTTAAGCTCATCTATGATCATGTCCCTGCTGATCACAACTTGCTTGTTCACTGGGTCGAACAACTTGTATCCTTTTGTCGAATGATATCCTATTAGGATTATTTGACTCGACTTGTCATCAAGCTTTCTTTTCAACTGATCTGGCACATGTTTATGTGATATAGATCGAAACACCTTCAAATGACTTAGGCTAGGCTTGACACCACACCAACATTCTTCTGGCGTGATTCTTTCTACCTTCTTTGCCGGACATCTATTCAAGATGTATGTTGCAGTCGACACAACTTCTTCTCATAATTCGTTGGGTAGATGCTTTCCTTTCAATGTACTTCTCACCATATTCATGATGGTTCTATTCTTCCTTTCAGCAGTTCCATTCTGTCGTGGAGTGTAGAATGACACTACCTCATGCACAATCCCTTCTTTCTCACATAATGCATCGAAACCTTTCAACACATACTCTTTATCGCCATCAGTCCTTAGAATCTTGAGCTTATGACCCCTTGGTCTTTCGACCATAGATTTAAATTTGGAAAATACCTCAATCACTTCACTTTTCTTCTTGATTAGGTAAGTCCACAGTTTTTGACTGAAATCATCTATGAGAGTGACAAAGTATTTGTTACCTCCAATCAAATCCACTTGGATAGGACCATATACATCAGAGTATATGACTTCAAGAATTGCCTTGGACTTGCTTCCTACATCCTTGTTGAATTTGTTCTTGTTTTGCTTTGCCTGCACACATTATTCACATACTTCATTTGGGATGTCGATTTCTGGTAATTCTAAAACCATATTTCTTCTCTTCAAATCTCTGATATCTTTGAAGTTGAGATGGCTAAGTCTATAATCCCATATCCATTCATCTCTACTGGTTGCAGTTGCAAGGCAGTTATGCTCCATCATATTAAGCTCAATCTTAAAGGTTCTATTCTGAGACATTGGAGCCTTCAAGATCAACCTTCCATTTGAGTTCAGAACTCTCATCATCTTGTCTTCAATTGACACCTTGTAGTTCTTTTTGACCAACTGCCTTATACTGAGCAAATTTCTCTGCATGCCTGGCATGTACAATACATTGGAAATTACTGACCTCTTACCATCTTTCATCATAATCATAACATCACCAATACCTTCAGCTGCTAGAGTATTGTCATTTGCAAATTTCACCACGTTCTTCATTGAAGGTTTTATGTTTACAAACCAACCCTTCCTACTAGTCATATGAGATCAGCATCCAGAGTCCAAGTACTATTAGTCCTGGAATCTTTCTTTATCTCTTGTTGTGACCATCAACAACATCTCTTCTTCTTCATGTTTCGCCAACTTTGCATCAGTTTCTTGACTTTTCTTATTTTCTAGACAATTACTAGAATAATGATCATACTTTTGACAATTGTAACACTGAATGTGACTTTTGTCAGGTTTTTGACCACCACCTCTTCCTCTACCTGCAGCACCGCCTCTTTGGTTGCATTAGTTTCAATTTTTTCTATGATTTGACCAGTTTCCTTCATGCTGATTTCGATCAGTTGAATTGTTGTAGCCTCTTCTTCCCTTGTTGCCATTCCAACTTCCTTTGCCTTTCTTTTCTTTTGTTGATTGTGCCTCCAAAGCCATGTCATTCTTCGACTTGCGTGTAACGTTTTTAGCCATCCTTTGTTCATAAGATTCAAGAGTTCCTTGAAGCTCTTCTTTTGTCAATGTTGACAAGTATTTCGACTCTTCTATGGCTACTACCATGTGGTCGAACTTTGAAGCGAATGACCTCAAGATCTTTGCAAGAATTGATCTTGATGTTAACACTTCTCCACATACCTTGATTTGATTCACCAATTTAGTAAACCTAGTGAAGAAATCTGTTATGCTTTAATTGTCCTCCATTTGAAGCAATTCGTAGGTTCTTTTGTGAGTTTGTAACCTCACCTCTTTCACCTTTTCTGCGCCTTCAAACTATTTCTCCAGAATTTCCCATGCTTCTTTCACTGATTCTACATTACTAACTTTTTCATGATTCTACATTACTAACTTTTTCAAAATTATCTAAATCAACACATTGATGAATTATAAAGAGAGTTTTATAATCTTTCTTCTTCAATACTTTGTATGCAGCCTTTTCTTGACCTGTCACGTTCTCTGCAAGCAGTGTTACTCCTTCCTTCACAAGATCCCAAAGATCTTGATAACAGAAAACTACCATCATCTGATTGCACAAATTCTCATAATTCTAACCCTTTAGAACTCGAAGACTCGCTGGGAAATGCCCGTTCAGATTATTCATCACCATCTCGTCCACGAATCACAAACAAAGCTCTAGATACCAGGTGTTTGAATTAACCTAAAAATTTGAGAATTCCGGATCAATCTTGATGAATAAGATTCAACCAACCGATCGAAATATCTTGTTCTTCACTCTTCACTCAAGTGAAACAATCACAACTTGATTGCAAGAATAATTCTGCATAACAATTGTTAATGGAAGAAGAAGAACCAAAATTGAATAAAAAAGAAGATTAGGGTTTGACAAAATAGAGAAAGAGGAGGATAATTTCTACAGAGTAAATCTCTACTCTCAAACTGAGAAAATATTATTCAACTTTGCAAATGCACTTTCTATTGTGTGTTTCAATTCATAATATGGTTACTCCCTATTTATATTTGAGCTAACTTGCTCTCTAATTTAAAGTCCAAAATTTTTGACATCTAACACTTCTCGACACACATACACTTTGACATCTAACACTTCTCGACACACATACACTGACTAATTTTGACATATCCTTGTTTCAGTCAAACTACACCTACTTCGACACAAAAAATTATATTCTCAACAACAATTTTAATAAAACACATATAAGAGACATAGGACATTGATATATTAAAAAAAACATTTGACAATAAATAAAAAAATGATAAGACAAATATTTGTCATCAATAATTATAAATAAAAAATACATACAAACAATTATCAATGAAAATGTTAATCAATTAGTTGTACTATTAAGTATTAAAAAGAAACTGAATAAATATTTGTCAATGATAAATAAAAATCGCACAACAAATATTTGTTTCTAATTAATATAAAATATTAAATAAATTTTGTCTATAATACAAGAAACACATTATTGCGACAATATTTATTTGTGATAAAATCAAATAATTCAGATAAATTTTGTTATAAATCAGATAAAATCAAGTGGAAAAAATAGAGATTAGAGATGAAGTATACGGAAGGTGACAAAAAATAGAAGTTAGAGATGAATTGAAGAAGAAGATATTTTATAAAATTATATATATATTTTTTTAATTTCATCTTCCCATGCCATGTCAGTGGTGTCAGTTACTAGAAGTTTGCCATCACCTCCGTTTTACAACGGATTATTAATATCAGAAATTAAAATCAAATAAAACTTAACACTTATGAATCTCATTAAAAAAATTAAATACTAAAATTAAAAGCACGTCAAATTACATAGTCGAAAAAACTATTTGTCCATATACATATGCAAGATTCACTTAAGTTGTTAATCATGAAGAAACCCGATTGTGAATGCTTTTACGCAACAACAAAAAAAAAACACACACAACAAGATTCTTATGGGGCTTCGTTTTCAAGATATTAGATGTATTCAAGTGATACTATTGCTTGCACGTCATGTTTCATCCAAATAATAGCACTTAAAAAGAAAACATTATTTATTATACAGGTGACGTTCACTTCAAGCTATGAAATAAATAACACCTCATAATAAAAACAAAACCATTTGTTAAAAACTTCCAGGCTCAAACCTAAAACCTAGCTAATAAAATGATAGCGGTAATTAATCATGATAAAATACATATTCTTTTTTAAATTAAAATTAAACTATAATAATATTTTATGAGAATCTAATTTATACTTTAAATTTTAAAAAAAAAAAAACTTATTTTATACAATAGATACAATTCAGTTGATAATCTGAAAACTAAAATATTTCATTAATTTACTTATATATACACATTTCTGTATTAAGAAAACATAAACTCATGATCAACAACCTAAATTGGATAATAATAACAATACAAAGATACAGATCACACATGAAGCTAGCAATGTAAATTCACATAATGATTGGAAAATCAAGGTGGCCAATGGTGTAAGTAGCGAAACCCATTGAAGAGCGTTGAAAGCCAGGACGATCAAGTTGCGCAGCATGTTCCTCTAGCACACTTCGAGCATCCCAGATAACGTAGAAGATTGAAGAGACGAATAACAAGAAGTATGTGGTTATTGGTACCATATTTTCTGAAAACTATAGGATAATTTGATGTGAATATTGATAATGTGAGAGTGATGAAATGCTTTTATAGGCTTCAAAAGACAAAAAATGAATTTGGGTAGGGTTGCAGGTACTGACACAAGAAGACAATAGAGGAAAATTCGAGCAAATCGGGATGGTTTGTGAGATTGATGAGGTTAGCCAAAACTCATAGTACTATTAAACGGTTAAAAAGGAACAAAAGCAAAAGATGGAAAGAAAAAGTAATGCTTTGGTTTGTGAGTTTGTGGTTTGGAATGCCCTTTAAACAATGTTGTGGCTTCGCTCTATGTCTTTAAATGTAAAAAGTGGCTTGTACAAGTACACCTATCAAAATAACCTTACAATGGACAGCCCCCAAAATTAAATATAAGAATTTTATTAAATTATCTTTAATTATTATTGATTACATAAAAAAAAATTCAAAAATAAGTGTTCCTTTCTATGAATCTGAGTGTACTGTTTCAACCCAAATTCTATTTTTAATCCAGCGTGACATGTCTTTTTTATCTGATGTGAATTTTATTTTACAATTTAGTAACTTTGGTATTGATCTATTACCTGAAATTTTCGACACGCCTTTTATCAAGCCTTAATTGAGACTTAGGTCTTTGGTTTAGGTTGAAATGTGCATTCGACCATGAAGTCAAAATTAATGTTCTTCGACAAAACATTTCCATCGAATGATACTAGTGGCCTTGGTTGAGATTCCAACTAGTTAGTTAAAAATTAAAGTTTTGGTACTTAGTGAAATTTAGTGTTCAAAATTGGTTATTCCACGCAGTCGAATGAGGTGTAAGTGGATAAGATCAGTCAGTTATGTAAAAACACATGGAAGCTTGTCGAAGATGAAGACTGTATGGAGACAAAGATGTGACATAATTTGCTTAGTCGACCATTGCAGATGATTAAGTTAGGACTAATATATAAATATCATTCACTTATAATTTTAGGGGTTTGCATTTGTACATAAATTCTATAAACTCAAAGTATTCGTGTTAGAGAGAAAACAATTGTGAGAATGTATGTATCTGCGTTCCATTTTATGAATTAAAGTCTTTATTTTTCAAGTCATTTGTTACTTTCCAAGTTGTTTTTATGTTTCCTTTCAATTTCGACTTTGATGTCAAATATATTTCAAACTTATGATTTTCACATAATATGTCCTGTGATCGTTTCGAGTTTAATCTTTTAAGTGAAATCAAACTTGTTTTTGTTTACCGAAATTCATAGTAAATAAATTGGCACGTACAGTGGGATTCTTTTGTGTGAATTTACATTTTTTTACATCTTTTCTCTTAAAATTTTGTTTGCAAAGTTCTTCATTGATGGAACTTCTCAAATTTGTGAGTGTGCATGAGATTGAGGAATGATAAGATAATAAAAAAAGACATTAAATATCAACGAGAAGATACGTTAGAATAATGGTTACTCCCATAAACAACAATCGAGAACAACCATCCAATAGCACAAGGGTTGGCGCGGTCACTGCAACTTCAAATGAACCAGTCCCCTCTATTGCTAGCACGACGACCATACTGTCAGCAACAGTCACACTGTCGATTGCACAAGAAAGGGTCGATTCCCCCCCCCCCCCCCCCAATGTGTTAGCTGGAGATTTCGATGTCAAGGTTTGATTGAGTATGATAAGCAAAAGAACTATTTTGAGATTTTTTTTTTTGGAATTAGACATGAGTATTACTGAAGATCCTAGTCGAAGTGATCCTTTATAAGAAAGATACGCTGGGATAAGACTTAGAAATATTTTTGAGTTTAGACTGCAATTTCGACGGAAGCAATACTAAGGTTTGTTAGAACAAGATTTGGTTATACTCATTATCTCTAAGTTTTGATAATAGCAAAATAGTATTTATGTGAGAACAATTTTGATACTCTAATTTTTGTTATTCTGAAGTTTTAACAAACAGGTTTTGACTCTGATATAGACCATATACAATGACAAACAGGTTTTGACGCCTATACGGAATACCGATAAAGACGAGAAAATGAATCAATAGTTTGAACACGAATCAATAAGATTTTGTTCACTCAAAGTTGGTTAATTTCCAATGCTAGTGGAATATAAACCAAATTGAAAAACAACTCAAATATTTGTATTCAAGCAATTATTCAAACACTTGGTGTGCGATGCACCCCAAGTAAAATTCAATAAGTGAACATAGTGATAAGCTTTTCCGATTACAATCAAACGGATTGTACTGAGGTTTCTAAAAATGTTTCAGTACTAACATACACCAGAATTTTAGTTAACCAATATGTTTGCACACAAGCTCAAAATTCAGCAATAAAAATAGTAAAAAGAGAGAACACCAATTTGTTGAGGTAGTTCCCCCATCGTCCTCGCTCGTACGTCTGCCCTCAATTCTAAATATAGAATTGAGACTTGTATGTATAACCTGTTGTAAATTGTTTTTACAAGAGAAGCAATAGAGTTCAAACACTCAATCCCAAACGTTGATGTTGAGCATATGCCTTCTCTTCCCTTGATTCAAGATGAATCAAGTCCTTCAAATGTGATGAGTAAACCTCCGATTACGGGACCACCTTTGAACAACCCTCTGGTCTTCAAATCTTGCCCGAATAATTTCAAAAACCAACAATTCGAACCCAAACCTTCCTTCCATAATCCTACGGTTAACGCTACTAAATTGACAGAACCTCCCGTCCTTCAATTACCTTCGCTCGGCTGAATCTATGAAGGAACGATTTGTGCAAAACCCTCAAAATACAAGATTCTTAGAGGATAAAACCCTAAAGGTTTTATTCAAGAAAAACCCACTGATTTTTCAACCCAAACCCGATACACCAATCCTATGTTTGGACGTTATCACCTTGATTATGCAGAATGTACAACAAAACTGGTTATGTGTATTTGTTGAGAAAATGCAAGGAAAAAGATGAAGATGATGAGAACCAAATCAGTGTATATTTTCACTTTTCTTGTTGTTGTGTAAAGAATGAGCTAACTCAATATAAATGCAAGGCTATAACCAAATAACCAACATAACAAACACTTTGAATGATAAAAATAACAAAAAAATAATGAGAAATGAGCGAACGATCGACTTAAAAATAGGGAGATCGACCTGAGCTCTTCCAAATTCAAAATATGCAGGAAAATGCTCTTTGCATCGACTGGGACAGGTCTATGAGTTGACGCAAAGCAACCCAGTTTTGACAAATACAAATGCATACAGTATGAGTCGACAGGAGGGTCGACGCGAGCTCTCCTGAGAGCAAATCACAAAAAATTACTTCTGCATGAGTCGGCCTAAGCATGATTTGAGTCGACTCAAAGACTCAGAACTTGCAAAAATACAAATATTGATATGTTTAGCTATTTCTAAGTGTTCCTAATGCATCTCTAACTCAACCAACATGATCAAACTCACATAGAACGCATATAGTGCTTTTCCTATATGAACCAAGACACATTTTGACAAATGCTTGACACTAAAAAAATAACGGATGCATATGCGACTCAATGATACCGTCCAAAGTACACTTTTCTAACTATATATGTTTTGACATCATTAAAACAAGTATAACTAAGTATGACAAACTTTGCCCTCACATACTCCCCCTTTTTTTATGATGGCAAAACAATAGAAAAATAGTTGAGAATAATGTGTAATATCATCTTCCCCCTTACTCTATGCATTTATCTAGAACCAATCTGCATGTTTGATCAGTATTGTAAAGTGCTTTTTTGTTTTTGCTTGGTTTCTTCTCCCCCTTTGAGAATATCAAAAAGGAAGAAGATATAGGTTAATGAAAGACATAGTATATTGAGATAAGCATATTCACCGAATTTGCAATAGGATAGCATTAACAAACATTCTTATATAATGAAGTTAATGAAAACATATAAAAGGATAAATAGATAACACATCAAATGACCAAAAGAAGTAAGTGTTATTACAAATATTAAAGTTTAACAAAGCTTCATGTCTTGATATTTAAAATAAATATAATAAGAGATGAACACTAGAATTCGATGAACAATATATGAAATGACATACACAATGATACACAAAGACTCCTCAAGGCCTCCTCCCCTTAAAATGATGGCCCCTTCTGCAAAATGGATAGTCATGAGGTGGAGGAAGTCGTTGCTCATCTATCTACTCCGTAAGTTCTAGGACAACTCGATTAAGAATGTTGGAACTGGTAGTGAGGGCACGATTTTGACCTGAGCAGATTCAACCATGATATCAAAACGACCCATCACTGATGTGGCAAATGTGTTGAAGTTATTCGTGTGAGCCTGAAGTTGGTTCTGCATATTTATGAACCGCTCATCCTGGGTTGTAAAAAAGTTTTGCTGTTTGAGTTGCATGCTCCTCATCATTTTGAGGAGTTCTTCATTATTATGTTAGGGACGCGGAGGTAATGGAGGCATGTAATTTCAAATAAGGCGTCTCTTGATAATCCCAATTCGTTGTTTGTGGCATGTAATTTGCACCAAGTATGGTCTAACCCGTGTGTTGCCAGGCACCCCATCCTTGGTTTCCATCTAAGTCCAAAGGAGGTGATTGATCTAGCCAACCACTGTTATCATGTTCATCAGTATCCATTTGATTTCCACCCACTTCTTCTTCTTCTTCTTCTTCTTCTTCTTTGTCTTCTTCAGTCTCATCAGATTCTTGCAAATGAGAACTAGTTGCCTTAACAATAAACCTGTAGCGCGTATCGCGAGGATCCCAAATATAATCCATCATAGTTAGAGTCTTTTGATAAAAATCTTGGTCGGTTATCAAGGTTGTGTATGGGATATCGGGTACTACTACTTCAGCATCATTGAGGACAAATTGGATGAAGGAACCATATGAAAATGTGGTCCCTCGGTCAGAATCTTTTAAAGAATAGATTCTACTCGCGATGTAGTGAGGCTAGTTAATTTTTGTCGCTACGCGAAAAATGACACAGAGTTGCCACCGAATTTTATTTATCCCAAGGAG